TGAAGTTATTGTAATTACCCAGCGCACCATTATATGTGAATGCCATGCAACGCCCTTGTTCTTGATGATAGTAATAGCGGCCAGATGTCTCAAAATTAAGGCCAAACATCCTAAAATTTTGTTTTTTTTTTAACATTTTCTTAAATTTTACTTCTTTGATATACAGTAGCAATATATTCAGGAATTAGACGGTGAAAGGTAGAACTGAGACAGGAAAGCATTACTGGTAGCACGAAAACAACAGCAAAAAGTACCAGCAAGCATTTATTCCTTCTTAGGTGCTAAGAACCTTATTAGGCTTAAGCGAAATTATAAGCGCTATTCAAAGAGAAGATTTTAGCTAACAGTAAGATACATTGGAAGCGTTAGAAACTGAAATCTATAGCATATAACGAGAAAATGCTTCAGTTCGTAGTATTTCTCCTTAAAAGATGAAATTAATCTGCATTTTCTGATTTAGCTCCCAAAACTTTCCACTTTTTCTTTTTTTTAGCAAGTTCTGTGGGAATTTTTTTCAAATGAGGAATTTTCTCATTTTTCTTATTTCTAGCCAAATTAATCGAGATAAATGTACGCATGCATACAATATACACGCATACACAAAAACATGAGCGCATGCATGCGAGCAAACACATGCAAGTACCTGCATGAACATGCACATAAACAAATGCGAATACTTACGCACACACATATTCCTACACGACAGACATGCATGCGTACACACAGTAGGATTCTTTCACTAATTTTTTATTAGATAGCATTTTAACGAAGCAAAACTCAAACCTTTTCATTGGATATCCAGGATCGAAGCTGGTTGACCGGGATGATGCATCGAGCGCTCTTCCACCGGTAATACTGCAAATGCTTGCAACCGTGGGACAACACAGTTGTGCAGAACCGATGGAGGTGCATTCGAAATTCGATTGACAAGAAGTCATCGTCTGGCAATTGCTGACCGGTTGCTCGTCTTGTATCAATTGACTGCTCTCCGTGTACTGCGGTGAGCCTCGCTTACATGCTAAAATAGTGATAAGTTCGAAAGAATTTAAGTTTTTGTGAAATTATTTGAGTTAGCAGTTATGACACAGTGCGAAATAGCATTGCTGTCATGCAGTAGATCGAAGATTCGACTCTCCCGACGGGGCAACCAGTGTTGTCCCCGCCCCACG